GGGTGTTCGAGTTATCATACGCACGACCTCAGGATTGGAATATTTGTTGTTGTTGTTACATGGTCGTGGGTGCGTTCCCCGTACGAGCCGAGGGCTCAAGGGCTGCCAAATCGCCTATAAACACCATCCTACCTCGCAGTTCCAACGAAACAAGTAATGAAGGATACTAACGACCAAAGGGAATGATAGAGTTGCGGTGGGACCATATGCGTTCCAGCATCCTTGCCAGGCGTTCAGGTTCCCACTTCATAGCGTCCTTCATATGCTCGAAGCGTGGGAAACCCATATCAGATCTGATTTTGTTGTACACCGGACAGTCCATCAAAATGTGCTTCTCGTCCTCGATATGGCTATCAGTGCCGCAGCAAGGGCATACTCGCTCCTCCCTTTGTATATAACGCCGTCCCTTACGCGCTCTGTTAGCCGCCAATGCCCAACAGCAAAGCCTAAACTGCATAAGCTTGCGGTTCGCTGAACGCGGGATAAACATTGCGATATGCGGGAGCACCTCCTTCCTGCCCGCTTGCTCGGCCGCCAGCCCCATCCAATGCTTATACTTCGCCATGTGAATTCCTGGTTGCTTGCCGTCTGACGGGTACACGTCAGGCTGGACATCTAAACGCGTATGCTTCCAACCACTCGCTAATCGGTCCTTGAAGTCCAAAACCACACCTTCTGGCATTGGCCTGTTCATCAGCCACTCCACTCGTTCGTCTACCTCGTGTAGCCCTTGCGGGGCCTCTTTCCATACGTCGTGCCCCAAAAAACATAGAAAACGGAGGAGTAGTGCCCCCATCCGGCCCCTTCGGGGTTGGAGAGGGACTCTGCGACCTCCTGTCGTAAAACTTGGTATGCCACAGACCCACGCTGTAAACGAACATGGTTCCAAAACCTCACAACCTGCTTGAGAACGTGGTAGTGTAGGGGTAGCTGCGACAGCTCTGCAAACAGGAGGCGGTGTGTTGGTCTGGCAGCTCCTACAATTTGTCGCATGAAAGATATCTGAAGCTGCACTGCTGTGTCCTTTAGGCATGCCTCGAAGGGCCCCTCTGCAAGGTTACTCGCATCACTCCGCCTCTTGAGCCTGTCCAAGACCTCAGCTAGCATAAACGGCCCCCAGACAGGCCACAGCTGTCACTCATGACAGTCTGACAAGTTACCCAAACAGGCCACGGGACGACAGGGCAACCCTTCGCATCAACACACGGCCACATGGCCACACGGCCACACGGCCACACGGCCACATGGCCACATGGCCACATGGCCACACGGCCACACGGATACACGGACACACGGACACACGGACACACGGCCACACGGACACATGGACACACGGCCACACACGGACACACGCACACACGGACACACGGACACACGGACACATGGCCACACGGACACACGGACACACGGACACACGGACACACGGACACACGGACACACGGACACACGGACACACGGACACACGGACACACGGACACACGGACACACGGACACACGGACACACGGACACACGGACACACGGACACACGGACACACGGACACACGGACACACGGACACACGGACACACGGACACACGGCCATGGGCAATCCAACAGAGCGGGGTCCCCCTTGGTTGCGGTCATGCGGTCAATTTTCCACTATTACGTTGCTTATGTGCCATGTATTTCCATAGCTTGTCTGACGGTAGTTCCCAGCAACATGCGGCTTTTATGAAGCTAGATAGACGTATGGTAATACCTTCTCATCCGTACCGAATGTGTATGTGTGTATAAATCCGTCATACGCACACCCATGGGAAGCTCAGCAGGTCAACAGGTGCAGTATACTCGTACAGTCTTTAGGTACGACTAAAAACTGAAATCGCTGCGTGCAGTAGTAGTGTGTAACTCAGCGATGCACACCTGGACGCCTGCTGCCGCGTTAGTCTGGGTGGAGCCGATGGGTGGTGGTATCCATGGCAGCTGTTACACAGATGGAGCTCGAGTCCCCGGAAAAGCTTCCATACGTGTGTGTAATGTGGAGCATTTTGATAGCCATCAACATCGTCAGTCATAACCTACCTAAGAAGGCACGCTGTGTCAAAGCAACGAACCAAGCAAGCAACTGCGTGGATGGTAACCGCAACAAACACCTACCAATGGATCACACCCATTAGTTCCCTCAAGCAGAAACCTGCAAAGATAACGAAGGGCACACAGCCCAGTCCAAGCAAACGCACAGCACCGACCCCGTGGTATATGATAAATGCTCTACTAACGGCTCACTGGTACCATCCACTAGCACGGGTAT